ATAATAATAATAATAATAATAATAATAATAATAATAATAATAATAATAATAATAATAATAATAATAATAATAATAATAATAATAATAATAATAATAATAATAATAATAATAATAATAATAATAATAATAATAATAATAATAATAATAATAATAATAATAATAATAATAATAATAATAATAATAATAATAATAATAATAATAATAATAATAATAATAATAATAATAATAATAATAATAATAATAATAATAATAATAATAATAATAATAATAATAATAATAATAATAATAATAATAATAATAATAATAATAATAATAATAATAATAATAATAATAATAATAATAATATCTTGACAAAAAAATTGTTTTGGATGAGTTTTAAATATTTTAGATTTATTATTTATTTTGTACGGCTTTTTTATTGCTTCTTAAAGTAATTTTTTAATACAAAAATTAATTTTTTTAAATTAAAAAACTAATTTAAGAGGCAGCAAAAAAGTCGTCCCAAATGAAGCCTTAATTTGAATAAGTGCAATATAAGAATTAATTAATTATAAATTATTCCTAAACCCTAAAATCATTTAAATAAAAAAAGCTTGTCATTGTGAGAGAGAAAGCTTGCCACTAGACTAATAGAATATTACTCTTTGTTGCTTAGATCAAAGTTCATATCATATTTACAGTACAATTGTCCAAATGTATATTTAATTTTAAATATTTTTTGTGCTAAAAATATTGTCTCTATGACATTTAATATATATTAACAAAATAATTTATTACAGATAATTCATATGAGAAAGGCATCCAATTCATCTTAATTTAATAAAGTTAATATTTAATAAATAATTATCTTTTAATTTTGAAGGATAAAAAATAAAACAAAGCTGGCTTCTCCTTTTGTCAACATTTATTAACTGTTGACAAATTGATCCATCATTAAAATTAAATTTATAAAAATTAATTAAAATATATAAATTATTTATATTGTTACGAGCATGAATATTAAATAATAATAATAATAATAACTTGACAAAAAATTGATTATGATGAGTTTTAAATATTTTATATTTAGGCTTCATTTAGGACGGCTTTCTTATTGCTTCTTAAAAAAACTTTTTAATATGAAAATTAAATATTTTGTACTAAAAACTACTTTAAAAATGAGTAAAAAGTCATCCCAAATGAAGCCTTAGTTTGAATAAGTGCAATGTAAAAATTATTTAATTATTCATAGATTGCACTAATCTCAAAGTAAATAGAATAGATTGTATGATCTAAGATTTTAAATTGTTGGATTTGCATTGAAAAGCCTGCAATATAATAGTTAATTGATCATTCAAATATTACACTCATTTAATAATAAATTCAAAAAATTCAAAACTCATTGTTATCAAATTCTAATCACAATATCCTCACACTAAAAACTTGTATTGAAAATGTATTTTCCTAAATGTTGTGAACAAATTTCTCTTTTTGTTGCAGGGATTATTCAAAGTGGACAGCAATGAGAAACACAATCATCTCCCTCTACCAGCCTTCCCACTTGGCCAGCCTCATCCCAACCATGCAATCTTACATAGAATCTGCAACTTCTTTCCTCTCTAAATCTCAGGAAGAAGGCAATGACATCATCTTCTCCGACCTCTCGCTCAAGCTTGCCACCGATGTCATCGCCCAAGCCGCCTTTGGTTTCGACTTCGGCCTCCTTAGAAGCCAATCGTCATCATATAATAATAATAACAACAACAACAACAATAATAACGAAGTTTCGGAATTCATCAAAGAGCACATATACTCTACTACCTCACTCAAAATGGATCTCTCTGGTTCCTTCTCCATAATACTAGCTCTGCTGATTCCAATCCTTCAGGAGCCTTTCAGGTAAGGAAGTTTAAATATAATTGCCTTTAATATAGTGTACTAACAGATAGTGTTATAATCAATAAATTATAGAACTCAAAGAAGATGAGGATGATGAATTCTTCTTCTTCTTTTTTTTGTTGACTTGGTTTATCAATTATTTTCAAGTTTTGATATTGAAAATTATTATTTATGTTTGTTTGGTAATAATTGTTAAATCCAATATGAGCCAAGCATGAACAAACTAAATCAATGGCATCTCTTATTACAGGAAAAAAGAAGATAATTATTCATAAAAAATATCTTCTACACATTGTAAAATTTAGAAGGAACATGTATGTGTAGTAGGTAATTTCATGCTCTATTAAAAATTTTTTAGATAATAAGATGTTATATAAATCTAAAACATAAATATTATGTATTTAGATATATATACAATTGAATTTTTATGTATTTTATATTAACTTATATAATAGTTTAATTTATAATGACATAAAAAATATCACTAGTATTAGCTTATCTAAAGTGAAAAAACAAGAATTTTCATTTACTTGTTAATGTAATTTAGATAATATAATTTAAAAAAATTTAAAAATTAGATATTGATACATCATTGGAAAACTCATCCTATTGAGTGAGAATCTTGACACAATCTTTGAATTAGAAACTTTCAGAATTTAATTAAGGATCATTTGAATTTTGATTTCAACAAATTTATCATCAAATTGAATATCTCAATGAGTTGAACGTACTCATCGAGACTAATTGTGATATGATCTTACTACAAATGAGCGAAAATCAAGTTCAAGTGTAGTTGGAGATTTCCTAACATCAATTAAACAATCAAATGATCTACAATTCTTGTTTACTTATAGTCAAATCAATTTGCTACTTAATGAGACAAATCCAACAAGCCCAAGCTAAGGTTATTAAAACACTTGAATACTAAAAAATGATTTATGATCAAAAGAATAAGCACAAATCACCTAATACAATATTTTATGATATTATCTAGATTTATCAGAATTCCATTCTTAGAAAATTGTAATTGTCCCACATTCTCCTTATTAAGGTGACATTGATTTGAGGTTAGAAAGAGCTTCAAGAGTACTAAAAATTTTTCAGAGCTCTACCATAATTTTAAAGTTGATGATCACTACTATCATCTAATTATCATCACCGCCTCACCGGATTATCATTACCCAGCTTCCATTGCTATACCATAATCAAATCACGTTCATCTGACCAGTATTGCTCGACCATAATAGTTTATTTTTTGTCATCCAATCATCATCGTCGTCTAACTAACGTCACTCAAAATCTATCAATAATTTGTTCTTATCCAACCACCATCATTTGATTATTATCATCTAACTACCATAATTTAACCATCATCATCTTACCACCAGTACTTGGCTAACATCATATGATCGCTATCATCACCCGCCACCACTTCTACAACAAGTTTTACTACAATTACATTAAAAAAGCTTAAGTTCACTACTTCGTAATCCTATCTTCTCCGATTTAGGTAAAGAGCATAACTTTGTAATTTTACTTAGTGGATTATTTTAGCTGGGTTAGACCCTATAATTTTTTTTCTTTTCAAGTTTTTCACGTAGAAACTTTAGTATCTCATGCAATCTTCTTTTATTTTGGTATGTTGGATCATCATACAAAGTTAAGATATTAAATATTCCCACTCTACAACCATGAAGGTCTAGCATGCAATAATTTGGCATCACTTTGTTAAAAATATTATAAGCACATGTACAACAAACACTAACCACTGATTAACATACATAATACCAACAATGATGGAACTTCCTAATTTAACACTTATATATCAATCTAAGGACCAATCACTCACTTAAGGGCGTCATAATCATGCAATTTGAGGTCACCCATACTAAATTTTTTAGGATTATCTTCATAGAATAGAGGAACAATAAGCTCAAATCTTTCAATTCTTAAAAGAAGTTAGAGCTAGGGGGGCCAACTTTGTTTTGTTAAAGCTCCTTTTTAAGTTACTTCTCAACCATAGCCAAATCCAAATCTTCATGATACTATCAATTCAAATCACTCTTCACATGATCTCCAACCAACTCATAATCTCTTGGCATCCATAGAAATTTAATTTGACCTCACATTTACAATGCCCCTAGTGATATCGTAAGAGTTGAACATTGATGTCTAGTTCAAGACTAATAATTCTTTTGTAGGGATATTAATCAACTTACTCATTATCATAGTTTTCAAGAGACTTCATCTTTGACAGAGGCAATTCTCTAGCATCCATTAATCCTCTAAGTTGGGTTCAAAATAAATGTCATTGATCTATATGATAGAACTTTTGATCCCTATGAGTATATCAACCACTATAGACCAGCACGTATATTTAACTAGCCTTTAATATGCTACTTTGCTAAGTCTTTCCTACCACTCATAAGGGTCAAGTATGTATTTAATTTTACTTTCTTTTTAATAGAATTATAGATAACTTAATTGATCTCCTAATGCTTCTTACAAACATCATCCTTTCATCAACACCCGACTAATACAATCTAATCATTATCATCACCCTTTACTATTTATCCAACATCTACAAGGGCGGAACTGTTGCTTGGTTGGGGGGGGGGGGGGGGGGGGGAAAAAAACCACCCCCGCTCCCGCGCTCCGGCAGCCACCCCCGCTCCAACGCTCCGGCCAGCTCCCCCCAAGCGGCTCCCGCGGCGTGCAGCCAGATTCCCGCGCGCGCTCTGGGCTCCAGCGTGCAAGGCGAGGTTCGAACAGCGGTTCCTCACGTGGAATTTCAAACGACGGACCGCTTTGCTGAAGAAGAAAATACGTTTAACTTGTAAATATTTATTATTTAAACTATATCACCACAGAAATAAAAAAAAAATTATTTATAAAAAAATTAAAACTAATTAATTTAAAATAAAAAATAAAAAATAACTAACTAATTAATTTTAAGATGAAAATTAAGTTAATAGTTATTTTAACTTTTAATAATTTTTTGTTAAATCATTTAAATGTTTAAAATTTTATTTATTTTTTTTATTAAATTTTTAAAAGTCGCCGGAAACGTTAAAAAGCCGTCGGAAATGTGACCGCCGGAAAACCGCTGGAAATAAGTCTCAAAGCCGCCGGAAAGCCGCCGGAAATCAGTGATTTTCCTGTAGTGAGAGGAGGGTCTGGAATCTGGAGATTGGATTTCGCCATTCGCCAAGTTGGTCGTCCATTCGTGAATCGCCGTTCGTTCATTCGTGAATCGCCGTCCGTTCGTTTGTCTGGAATCTGGAGATTGGATTAGGTCCGTCGTTTGTTCGTGAATCGCAACTCGCAAGGGCCTCCGGCATCAGGAGATCTAGGTCTGTTTTGATTTATGAACACATTGCTTGATTATTTTGTTTGTTATTTTTTGGTTGATTTGTTGTTATTTTATTGTTTGTTATTTATTGGTTTTGAATTTCAATTTATTAGCCATTTACAAAACATAATTGAAAATACTCTAGAAATAATGGATCCTATGCAAAACAGCCATTTAGAAAACCTTTGGCAACTATAACATGAGCAGATGCAATATAGGAATTTACAAAACTAACTAGCAACGTCTGCTTATTGTTAATAGATTCAATTTAGGAATTGTTGTTTTGCTATTTCTAAATGCAACTTGAATTGTTGTCCGTTTACGTCTAAATGCAACTTGAAACTTTTAGACAAAATTCTGGAATTGTTGTTTTGTGTTAGAAATGCTAAAAGAGATTCTCATGATAATAATTTTGGAATTGTTATTTTGTTATTTCATTATTTGTTATGATGTAAATATTTTGATTGACAGTCGCTCTTCTTTGGTAATAAATTTTATTTTAGGATTTAGGAAAATGGAGCATTATTTAAAGAGGAAAGAGCGAATATAAATTGACATTAACAATCTCCCAGCATATCCAAGACTCTGACCTCCTATTTGGAGTTATGATGTAAATGATAGAGATAAGATTTGGAGATCATATATATTGAAGGGACCCCATCAACCGAGAAGTCATCAATTTCCCCAAACTTTATATGGAAATATTGCACGTAGGTTCAATCCGAATTGGTTTGATAAATACTCTTATTGGTTAGAGTACAGTTTGCAGAAAGACACTATTTTTTGTCTTTATTGCTATCTATTTAAACCTCAAGAGCAAATTATTAAAGGTAAAGGTGGTGGGGATTCATTTATTGGAGAAGGTTTCAAAAATTGGAAGAAGAAAGAAAAATTATTATATCACGTTGAAGATCACAATAGTGTACATAATAAAGCTAGACAAAAATGTGAAGACTTGATGAAGAACTAAAAACAAAGTGTTCCAGCTTTATGGTTAAGCAAAGATAACAAGAACAAAAAATAATATAGGATCATGTTGCATGCAGCCATTGATAGTGTTAGATTTTTGTTACACCAGGGATTATCATTTCGTGGGCATGATGAGTCTTCCAATTCAGAGAATCGAGGAAATTATTTAGAGCTATTTGACTTTCTAATTGATCATAATGTGGAAATTAAAGAAATGACATCTGCAAATGCCAACTCAAATCTGAAGTTAACTTCACCAAAAGTTCAAAAAGAAATATGTTTTGCTGCATCAACTCAAACTTTAATATATATCATGAAAGATATTGGTAACTCATACTTCTCACTTATAATTAATGAATCCCGTGATGTTTCTACGAAAGAACAAGTTGCTATTGCAGTGAGATATGTAGATAAGTTGGGCCAAGTGATTGAAAGATTTATAGGCATCAAACATGTCATATCCACTAATGTAGTAACACTGAAGGCAACCATTGAAGACATTCTAGCCAAACACTCGTTGAGCATACAAAGGATGAGTGGTCAAGGTTATGATGGGGCATCCAATATGCGAGGAGAATTTCATAGTTTAAAGACCCTAATTCTAAAAGATAATCCTCCAGCATTTTATGTTCACTATTTTGCTCATCAACTCCAATTATGTTTGGTGGAAGTGGAAAAGAATCATTAGCAAGTAAAGCATCTTTTTGAGTTCACTTCTAGAATTATTAATACTATCGGGGCTTCTTGTAAGAGATCGGATGCTCTTAAAAGTATTCAGTATGATAAAGTACTTCTTCATCTTAAAAATGGCAATCTCATAAGTGGCAAAGGTTTGAATCAAGAGACAAATTTGTATAAATCTAGTGATACTCGTTGGAGTTCACATTTTCACTCTTTGATTAGTTTTATGCGCATGTATGCTTCTGTGATCGAGGTGCTTTATGTGTCATGTTTAAACCCAAGTGATTCTTTTCATCTTATGATGAGAGGAAATTGATATGTCTAGCAGAGTTATATCCAAGTGATTTTTCTATAATTGAGGTTGTTGCTCTTAAAAGTCAATTATCAACGTACATTATTGATATGCGTACTAGTGAAGAGTTCTCCTCTCTAAGAAGCATTGCTGATCTTGCAAAGCAGATTGTTAAGTTCAAGAAGAATGACATGTATCCTCTAGTTTACAGACTTAGCATTAACTTTACCAGTTGCTACTGCTACAGCGAAGAGAGCATTTTCAACCATGAAAATTATCAAACATCGATTGCGTAGTAGGATGGGTGATGATTGGCTCAACGATTGTCTTGTGCCTTGCATTGAAAAAGATGTGTTTGATTTGATTCCCAATGAAGATGTAATCTAATATTATAAAAAAATGCAAAATAGATTGATAAAAAAAAAAAAAAATCATGCAATCTTCTTTTATGTGTATTAATTATTTGTAAAAAACTAAAACAATAAATTTTCATCACTCTACCACTTTGAATATTCTAACATGCAACAGATATATAAATGTAATTTCAGGCAAGTTCTGAAGAGGATCCCTTGGACAGCAGACTACAAAATAGAGAGAACAAACTCGAAGCTCAGTAAGAAACTTGACTCCATCGTAACACAAAGGGAGAGGGAAAAGGAAAGAGGGAGAAAGAACTTCTTGTCTGCTATACTTTGTAAAAGAGAAGATCAGGAAGGTGAACATTCAAAAAGGAAACTTGACTTCATTAGCTCTGACTACATCAGCTCTCTTGCTTATGAGCACCTCCTCGCTGGCTCCACCACCACTTCCTTTACTCTCTCTTGTGTCATCTACTTGGTTTCGAAGCATGAGGAGGTTGAGAAGAAGCTTCTGAGAGAGATCGATGAATTCGGGTCGTCTGATCTTCTGCCAACGGCTGATGATCTGCATCATATGTTTCCTTATCTTGATCTGGTGATTATTTCTTTATCTATATAAACAATATAAAATGTTTTTAGTCTTATAAGATAATAGTCAATATTAGAAATGAGTAATATTAAATCCAAATGATTATTCTATGATAGCATCTCCTATCGGATTTGTTAGAAATATTATATGGCTCTAAACCCTTTTAAATGTATTTTATAATAATATATTAATATTTTTAAAATGTGCTGACTTGCAAGCTAGCGAATCGGGTTGAAGCTGGCTCAAGTTTGACTTGCTAGCTCGTCGAGCTCAGCTAATGAGCATTTTATTGAGCTAAGCTAGAGTCATCTTATGAGTTGACTTGACTTACTTAAACCCCTACACTTAGCTAAATACTTTTTCTTGTAAATATATTTACCTTCTTTTATTATATTCAGGTGGTTAAAGAGGCTATGAGACTTTACACAGTGTCGCCGCTGATTGCAAGAGAGACAAACCAGCAGGTTGACATTGGAGGCTATCTTCTACCTAAGGCAAGTAAAAATTAAATTTCTTGTATTTATTTTCAGATAAATATAATATATTAAATCTAATTTAAATTTATTCTAATTTTGATATCTATTGTGACATAAAATATAAATATTTACTTTAGATATGCATAAAATATCAATATTATTTTTATAAAATTTTCTTAATTTTATCTTGTAGGGGACATGGGTGTGGCTAGCACCAGGAGTGCTAGCCATGGACCCGAAACACTTTCCAGACCCGCATCTTTTTCGGCCCGAGAGGTTTGACCCGACCGGTGAAGAAGAGAAGATGAGACATCCTCATGCTCACATACCTTTCGGGCTCGGCCCGAGGGCTTGCATAGGTCAAAAGTTTTCCTTACAAGAGATCAAACTCACAGTAATCCATCTTTATAGAAATTATATTTTCAGACATTCTTCTAAGATGGAGTCCCCTTTGCAATTTCAGTTTGGCATAGTTGTTAATTTCAAGCATGGGGTTAAGCTCCAAGCCATTAAGAGGTGAGTTTGAGAATGAAAAATCTTCATCTGAACCTATAATTTATAATATTTTTGGTCCGTTTTGATTTTATTTATATACTGTTGCTTATTGGTGGAAAAACAAATAGAAGATTATGTAATCAAAAGCACCTCACCGTTAGCTAGACTTAAGCTTCTTTCATAAATTATAAAATTTTCACTAGAAAACCGTTTTATAAAGCAGCAAAATAGCTATTCCAAATGAAACCTTAGGCTTTGTTTGGAACAAGTTTTTTACTACTTTACTTTTCAGACCACAATCATAATTTTTATTTGATTACTATTTTTTTGCTACTTTTAAAAATTTTGTGCTATTAAGTTGTTATTTACAATAACTTTCAAAAAAAGTTATTTTTCAACAACTTTATAACCATCTTTATAAAAAACTATAAATATCTCAGGATAGGACAGGGCAAATTATTAGGTGTGGAGTCCGAATATGATCCGAAGATCAATAAAAATGCGTCACATCACTTTTCAAATGTATCGGGCTCGGTACCGCTCAATATCAAGCTCGGTACCCAACGTAACTGGACAGTTCTCCCGTCTGGTGTCCACACAGAATAATCTCTCCTCCTCAGACAGACTCTTAATCCAATTTATCATGTAATAAATTATGTGCCATTGATGACAAAGCTAGGATTACAGCTCGGCAAACAGAAAACTCTCCCTAGATTGCCAATAAGGAAGCCAAAGCACAGAAGCAATTCAGTCACTCTTCACACAAACAATATTCTTTCTCCATTTTCCTCACCAGTTTCACACTTCAAGCAGTTCTTTAGCTTTGCCTTGGCTGATTCAGTCAAATTCATGTAACTTGGCTTTCTACTTCTGTTATCTTCTGTTCTTTCTAACGTGAATAGACTCGCAGCAGAGATTGGTGTTGTAAAGTATACAGAAGAAGAAGGAGAAGTGTCACCACAATGAACCTCAGAGCTTGGCGATGAAGCAGGTCGAGCTTTCGCAGAAACTCTTGTTGTGACATAGTTCTTTCTGATATTAACAGAACTAGCTTCACAGTTTCTACATTCAAACTTAGATGCCTCTAACCAGCTCCAGTTTCCATTTCTCTTCTCAAAATCATGTCGTTTTAGGGAGGTAAGAGATGGATCAGACCTCACGTTTGAGTTTGATCTCCATTGCTGACAGAAAAAAGGAATAGTTCTTAGCTAAACAGAGCATGGATTGGTAGAAGGTTACTGTGAAGAGAAGATGATTTGGTGAAGAAGGAGACTTGTTGTTCTATAGAGTAAGCAATGGCCCTTTCCCTCTTGATTGCACCATCTTCTCTCATCTGCAACTTTGCCTTGATTTGTGCTAGTGTGCATTGGCTATCACACCAGCCTTCCTGTAATGAACAGGAGAAGACAGAAACTTGTTCAACAGTCTCAAGAAGCATCAACAATATAAGTGTTCAAAGTTCTGAATTTAAATGAATGGCTGTGAAAAACTACTTAGCGGGTTTATGAGTTTAAGGCTTCGTTTGGAATGGCTTTCTTCCTTCTTTACTTCTTAAAGTAGGTTTTTAATAAAAAAAAAATTAATAAAAAGCTGTTTAAGAAGTACTAAAAAAGCGTCCCAAACAAAACAAAGCATCCTTTAAGCCTGAAAGAAACAGATCCTTAAAACTTTTGTTTAGAAACAAGTTTGCTCGTAGTAGAATGGCCTTATTTTCAGTCTCCTCGAAATAACTTAGAAATTTCTGCAAGAAAGAGCTTGCTGCGTTGAATAATGTAGATATAATCATATAACAATCTAGATTTAAAAACTATCACTATTAATCCATTTAAAAACAACAAAGATGATATTTCGACCAACATTATTAACATCCTCTTCTCAGCATTTAATCAAACACCATGAGTGCAAGATTACCTCTGCCGCTTTTAATGGATCCCTGTCACTTCGCTGGTTCTCAATTATCTTCTTCACACCATTCCGTTCAGCGGACAATCTCGACCGCCGCGCCCGAACCAACTCCTGAACTCGAATAAGAGCCTGCATACATCTGAAGGTCACCGCAGCCCGCTTTCTCACTTGATGAACTCTCACGAAGGCCTGAAGCCTCACAATCCCTTTCAGCGCTCTCAATGCTCTTCTTGCCTAAACTTCCAACAACCAAGAAAGGCTTTTTTTTTTGCTAACATAAAAATGAAAGCTTTTTAAAAAACGAAACCAGAGATGGAAAAGATTTCGCACCAGGATTCCACGATATGCTCTCTGTATCCTGATTGCAGCCCAGTCTTTCCTTAAATCCTTTAATGGCGCTCGGACCACGGCCGCCGCCACCGGCGCTGCTGAGGTGAAAGCTTCGGCTGCCACTGATGAAGCATCATAAGCTTCTGAAGTCGACGGATGACGATTTCTATTTGAGCTCCTCCATGGCATTTTCCACTTGCTGTTCTTAATCATGTTAGTTTCACCGCCCCTCTTCTGTTTCAAAATCAGTTCAAGCATAAAGATCAGAACAAAAAGATAAAATAGAGTAGCATGTTCATATAGAAGGATCAACTACTTACGACTTCATCTTTTTCCAGATTCTTTAGGCCAATGAGCAACTTCATCCACTTCTTTGAGGCACCCATTGGTTCGCAGCTCGGAGAAGAAGATGACAGATCTAGGGAGAGAAAGTTGAGGACTTCGGTAGTGGTGACTGGTGATTGCTGCCCCTAGTTCGAGGTAGAGCAGTCAAATTTCGATCTTGACGACAATTAGGATTGAATTAAGTAAATTTATTGATTCAGTCTATTATATTATGAAGTTGTTTAAACGCATCACAGATTCGATGGGCAACCACTTCTCACAGAGAAATTATTGTGTGCGGCATTATGGTTAGAAGAATCGTTTGAATTATGAGTTTGCAAATTATGTATATATAGTGCGTCAACTAATTTAATATATAATACATAAATGTATATAGAGTGTGCGCACTTACATATTCAGATAATTTTTTTCATCTGGATGCGCACAGAATAATTTCTTCCTGGGCAAAAAAAATATATATATACATATTACATACATATCGAAAAAACTTTTTTATTTATAAATATAACATTTAAATATTTATTTATTTAACACTAAAATCTTTAAATTATTTCAAAAATATCACCAGGGCTGTCAAAAATGGATATGACATGGAAACCCGACACGAACCTGAATCAAAATTTTTGGGGTGCGGGTTGTCCTGTTCGAAAAGCGGGTCGGATTCGGGTCTGCCGCGCAGTCGAGCGCGCCCGCCCCGTTGCCGCAGGCCCTCACATTCTTGGTCCTTAATTAAGGGAGTTGATATTGGTCGTCAATTCAGAACACTCTCAATATGTCCTTGATCTTCTCCATATTTAATGGTCATGACACTCCCAAAAATTTATAAATAGACCCTGCATTCTTCAATGACGGGACCCAAGAAAGCAAGGAAGAAAATTAGAATTCTCATACCACCAGACTCTCGACCATCATTGTAGGACCACCGACTTGTGACAAACCACCGTCGAATCACTAGCTGTTGCTGGACTTCTGCCTGGCCACCAATCAAGATTGGACTTTTTCCCGGCCATCAATCGACAACAGACTTCTGCCAAGCTCTCCAAACTATTGTAATTTCATTATTGTCCTCAAGTTTTGAGACGAGTCAATCTTTGTAACATATTCAAATAATAATTGAATCATTTTGACTCGGAATGGCCATGTGATTTTTCCCTTTTCCAGGATTTTTCACATAAAAATTCTGGTGTTTTTTTTTTATTTCTGTTTGTGAGCTGGATACTCGTATGACGCCAAGATTCACAATTTTTCCTACTTTATCGCTACAAATATTCTATATTATATATAATTAAATTCAAACCCATAACAATTATTGTGTGCTAGAATATAACAAGGAGGAAGAAATTATTTAATATCTTTGCGAGTATTCATTCGCATATAAATAAAAGAAAGTTGTAAGGGACACAAAAGTTTTAATGAGAAAATTTTAAAAGGGAAAATTTAAGAGGCTTGACTTTGTTGAAATAATTTCAATAATGAATATCATAAGTTATAAATGGCCTTTTTTTGGGTATTAGGAAAAGCATTGTTACAATATAGGCTTCATTTGGAACAACTTTCTTATTTCTTTCTCAAATAGCTTTCAAGTACAAAAATTTTTTGTTTTAATTTTTTTTTTCTAAAAACTACTTTAAGAAGCAGTAAGAAGGTCGTCCCAAACAAAGCCATAGTAGATATAAAATGTGCAGGATTGTTCTATGATGGAAGTTAGAAGAGTCTTGAAGCGTAGGAGTTGTATTCACGAGATTTTTGTTGAATTTTTCACCTATAATATGCATTGAGATTCATGCTTAATCAAATAAATTTTTTAAATGAGTATTGATATGTTATCAAAAAATTATCTTGATCAGACATGAATCTTGAGGCAAAAATCAAGTGGGAAACTTCAAAAATTAAATATGGGATCATCTGAACTCCGATTTCAGCATAAAATGTGCAGGATTGTTCTATGATGGAAGTTAGAAGAGTCTTGAAGCGTAGGAGTTGTATTCACGAGATTTTTGTTGAATTTTTCACCTATAATATGCATTGAGATTCATGCTTAATCAAATAATTTTTTTAATTGAGTATTGATATGTTATCAAAAAATTATCTTGATCGGACACGAATCTTGAGGCAAAAATCAAGTTGATAACTTCAAAAATTAAATATGGGATCATCTGAACTCCGATTTCAGCTAAAACTAACAGTCGAACTGATCGTCTCAGAAAAACAAACCCAACTACACCAAATTCAGCTCAATCCGAGCCCAAATGGGTCCGAATCGAAGGCCCGCAGCACATTTGGAATGTTCAATCCGTAATTTGGATTTCCAAACCATTTCCAAACATAACCTGGTTATAGTTGAATCGAGTGGCTTGACGAGACGAATCCAACGAGCCCAAGTTCGCCAAATTTTGACATCATTAAGACCTTCAAATGTTTGATGAACGGTACATGATCAAGAGATTCAATATCGGCCGCCCATCCAACCACTTCCCATTTACCCCTGATCTCTCACCTATTTACGGGTCATGGCACTCCAAAAATCTATAAATAGACCCCTCATTTCTATTGAGAGGGGACCCAAGCAAGAAGAAGAAGAGAAGAAGGAGAAGAGAAGAAAAGAAGGATAGAAGGGAAGAAACTCCTCCTCGACCACCGCCGAGATCCTGCCCGACTTCCACGGGACACCAGAATTCTGCCCGACTTCCAAGTGAAACCGAAATTCTGCCCGACTTCCAAATGACGCCAGAATTCTGCTCGACTTCTAAGTGACGTCGTAATTTTGCCCGACATCCAAGTAACGTCGGAATTCTGTCCGGTCTCCAAGTAACTCTGGAGTTCTGCCGAAGTACCATCTAGCGTCGGAGTTCTCCTCGGCCGCCAACTGACGTCGGACTTCTACCCGATGCCGGACCTCCACTCGTCGCCAAGTTTTACCCGACGTCGATTTTCTGCCTGTTGTCAGACTTTCGCCGGGCATCTATTTGATGCTGGATTTCTGCACATTGTTGGATTTCTACCTAACGCCGTCTTTCTGACCTTCGTCTACATATAACTGACCTTCTGACTTACGTCGTCCACCGACTACAGTCCTTCCGACCTCTGTTGCCCGCCGACTACAGTCCTTCTGACTTACATCACCCACCAACTAAAGTCCTTCCGGCCTCTGTTGCCCCACGACTACGGTCCTTCTGACCTCCGTCGCCTGCCAACTACGGTCCTTCCTACCTCCGTCGCCTGCCGACTAAGGTCCTTCGGACTTACGTCGCCCACCGACTACAGTCCTTCCGACCTCCGTCGCCCACCGACTACGGCCCTTCCGACTTACGTCACCCATCGACTACATTCCTTCAGACCAAACAAACACATTAACAGTGATTCTTTGTATTCTCATCATGTAATGTACTTTATAAGATGCACATCAAGCTAAGACCTTCCCCTAATGAAGGGCCACATTTGTAAGCAACTGCAATACTAGTGGATTCATTCAAACTGGGCTAGGCCCCGTGGTTTTCCCCCCTTTTTCAGGGGTTTTCCATGTAAAAATCTCGGTGTCTCTAGTGAATGACGCATCCTCTCTTTTTGTGTGTGTGTGTTGGATCTTCGTACAATGCTAAGACATTAAACTTTATATTTCTATACCGTCGCAAATGCTCCAAGATCCAAAAGTATAAATAATATGATTTATATAGAGAGATCTGCACAAATTTTTCTTTTCCATTGCTCCTCAATATTTTTTGTTGGTTTAACTAGTTTTATTCTTAGTTGCGCAGAAAATGATGAGTGGATCACACTTGTCAAAAATAGAAATACCTATGTCAATTTGTGTAGCATAAATAATAACTAGTAAAATAAAATTTTGATCTAAATATATTTTTTCAATTGTTATTAAATGAATATTAAAAAAAATCAAAATAGCATATAGTACATTAATGTTATTAGTGATTATCTACATGAAAATTTATTGATTTTTTATAAATTTTAAGTGAATAAAATCATAAATTTATATATTATATATATAAATTCTAAATTAGAGTCCTCATAATTGAGTGCTTGAGCTCCCAATCAAAATTTTGATATAGAAGTAGGAGTAGAAGCAAAGCCTTGGATCATTGCCATTATCGATCGATTAGAGAAATTATTCTGTGCAGATGTCGGACACAGAACACTTGTCTGGAGACCAACCATAATGCACCATGTTAGCGGTACCGAGCCGCGGTATCTCAGAAGAACGTCGACACCGATCATCGTACAAAGCTCTAAAATTGTTCAAATTTATGAGCCTTCTTTTGGTTTAGATTATGTTAACATGAAAAATAAAGGTTATTTATAATCTTTTGAAATGATATTTTGATCATTTTTGTTAAAATTTTAAAAAAAATTATCACGTAGTCTTTATTGATATTTTCGATGATATACCATGTCTCATGCATTTAATTAGCTCGTTAGTGACATCAAAATTGAGTGATCTTGAGTTCGTTAGATTCTTCTTATTAAGATACTCATTTTGACTATAAACAAAAAAAATTTTTTTTTTCTTTATGAAACGGAGATAACTATATTGATTTAAGCTAACTTATTATTATTATTATTATTATATCATAACTTGGATTTTTAAACATGATCACACAAAGGAGCATCAACTTCTCCATAAAATAAGAGAGCAATCCCAAAACATCAAAGGAAAAAGTTCAACAAAGCTTAATAAGTAATTTCACAACATAAGCCGTATTTTAATGTTCCTATATCTGTTATTTCCAAGGATGATTTGCAATCTCACCTAAAGAGGGATAGTGAGGTGTTGTAGGGCGACTGGTTACATGTTCACAATTCCTATGATGATGATGAAGGTTTCTTTGAGTTTGAGGGTGACTCGGATTTAAGTATCCTCAAAATTGCTGGTGCTGAGCCTAGCTTTAGGCGTAGTAAACGTAAAGCTCGTAAATCCACAAAGAAATGACTTCTTTTTTATTTTAGCTTTGTTATGGACAATGATGATGTAGTTTTCATGCTTGCCCCTCGGTCCGCCATGGCTTGGTTGCAACCTGGGTGAATTTTGTGCTATGATTGCCTCTTTTTACTTACTGGATGGCTCTTGCCTGGCGACTAGGTGGCTGTCTGAGTTCATTTATTTTTCGGATTCTCCTTTCGTTGTCTTGCTCAAGTTGTCTGGCCTGACGATTACGGTTATGTACTATAACTGTCTTTTTCTTTTTTATGGATTCTCTTGTGTTTGGGCATATATTGTACTATTTTCTTTGTTTAATGAAATATCTTTTTTGGAAAAAAAAATGTATAAATAAAAAACACAAGCCAAATAAATAAATAAATAATCACTTTATTTTGAATAAAAACAACTTTGGCATTTATGTCTATCTTATTCACAGCAGAGAAATCCTCTCTATCTATAAAATCAATACAATAACTACATATTATTGTCCTTCTTGGATAAAAACAGCAAGGAGGATTAGAAATGGAAGAATGAATTAGGCCTATCTCAATGTACATATCTAAATTATTAAAAACAAAGCTTCTAATGTCAAGATGGAAGCAAAATGATCCTCATCCATATTGCTTCCTTGTGTTGCTTCAGCATTTAAATGCATTCAGATTCTCTCTTCTCTGGTTTTGCAAGTGCGAATTGCAGTTTTAGGACTTGGAACTCCCATAAAAGCCAGCTTTGGAGAAACTCTCACATTAGGACTTGGCCTGGGAGAGGGAATTGGATCCTTACTCCAACTAGGAGGAATAGAGACCTTGGGTGAAAGGTTAACTTTCTCTAGTGCCTTGCATTGGAGATCAGAAGGATAGTCCCGAACACAGCCGATGCGAGGGCCGAGCCCAGTGGTCCATTTCTGAGAAACAGGCTTAATGAATTCAATCAATGGATGTTTTCCAACATTGTTTTCTATGTCAAATTCAGCCTTCTGGGTCTCAGTTACATCCTCTTCAACATCCTCGGCATCGATCAGTTCACGAGCAGGTAAAATTTGATCTTTTTTTACTGAATTTTCTTCAAGATTCCCTTCCAACGCCGCCGCCACGCTCTTTGATTTCTTAAACGATGAAGGACATTCATCATCATCTATTGAATATCTCTGCATTAATGTTCATAGAAAGCTGATTAGAAAGACACATATATAAACAGGAATGTAGTATGATCAGTCTTTAAGAAACAGTACAGAAGATTAATGAATTGAAGACTAACGAACCTTAACATTGGTGAGATCAGCATTATTACACTCTAGGTAGTTGATGAACTCCTTGAAATTTTCTTCTGTTGGGAGGTAATGGCCACTGTATGGCCTGATTGCCTTCAGCATCAGATAACCGCTATTAGTATAAAAATTAACATAACTAAGGCTTTGTTTGAGGCAGCTTTCGTAATGCTTCTTAAAACAGTTTTCTAGTACAAAAATTTTTATTTTTTTTATTTTTTTACTAGAAAAATGCTTTAAGAAGCAATTAGAAAGCCGTCCCAAACGAAGTCTAAAATTCAATAATAGGATAGTAGTTGCTACTTTGTTCATACCTTTAGAAACCCATCCTCCACAACTAGAGTTCCAGCAGCTGTTATCGCTCCCCCAGATAGAAAGCTTGAGTGCTGAAATTTACCCTTTTTCTTCTGTTCATAGAACACATTACAAGTAAGAGGTCAGCATCAGAGATATCAAGACAATCACATAATTATAATGTTGAAGTTATACTTCATAATAAAATCTAGTATATACCTGACCCACATATAAAGCTTTGTTCGTGCTCAGAACAAATATCCACTTAGCTCCATCAGAAGTGTGCACAGGTGATTTGGTTTGTTTATAGACAAGTTTGCCATCATTGATGATCACTTCATATGCCTCCCTCTCTCTCTGCGTTACCAAATAAATAATCTTATCCACATGAACACTTCTTATTTTTTTATTTACACTAAGGCTTCGTTCGGGACGGTTTTTTTATTGCTTCTTAAAGCAGCTTTCTAGTACAAAATTTTTAATTTTTGTATTAAAAATCTGCTTTAAAAAGCAGTAAAAAAACCGTCTCAATCAAAGCCTAAATTTACATAGTAAAACAATAAAAACATACCAGTCCTAGATATTTTATGCACTGCTGCTGAAGAGTGCTTCTTGGGCATTTTTCAAGATTTACTTGTTTACCATCTCCTACGTCGAGCCTTCATTAACAATTAAATAATGAGATGGATATATAAGATATTTTCACTTTTCAAAGTAAGATAAATGTCATAGCAACAAAATCTTACCAGTAGAAAAATGGCTGTGTGCTCTCACTTTCAAACCAAACATCATAGTAGAGATGCAAATTATGCCCATATCTATGACGTGGATCAATCTGCACATAGTAAGAAGAAAAAATTAGGCTTGGTTGGTGTAATAAATATGAAATTTCTGTCATTTACTAAATCAGATCTTCCACCTTAAAAATAAGTTTAAGCAATAAAAACATCTCATTTAAGCAAATTTATGACTTGCTCTGCTGATCTGAATCATTTATATGTAGCTATAATCTGTAGAAATAAAACATAAATGTGGGTGATGAGGTAAGATAAACAGCAGAACTTACAGCTTCAAGCCAGTGCTGCAATGCTAGTTTTTGAGCCTTATCACTTTTTGACAGCCCCTTACCAACCTGCAAGGATTACAAGAATGAACAATTCCATTCATAACAGGACCTACAATAAGTAAAATGCACCACATTATTGTAAATGGACTACTTTATAAATAATTTAGCAAGGATTGTGCCAAAGAAACTACCTTCGCAGCTCTCGTTCGTGCTCTCGCCCACCGTGAAACCGCCGTTTCTGTCTTGTTATCATGGAAGAATGATATCGAGCTGTGCTTAAGAGATGCAAAATCCAAGGCCTTCCACCTTCAATAATAAAAAATGTATGGTAAGTTGATGCTTAAGGCTAGAACAAGAAAAATGAAAGTTTATATTTTGAACAGAAGAACATACCACAATTCCTCAACAACAACAGCACAGTCTGCCAAATTTCTTCTAATCCTGTAACTCTTGTACACTTTCTGTAGCTTAACAGCTGCAGAATGCATCTCGCCAATAGGATGAGGAGAAACCAAGTCAGGAAGGCATATATCATTTCTTGTAGTATCAGCACAAGTAGATTCCAAGTTCGAATAGTTTGATGAAATGCCAGGCTTGCCAATAACATTTTGCTGCTCTGAATTGGTTAAGCCTAATAAACTTTCAGGAACCACCTTGCTGGAACCAACAGTTACCAGCTTAATACCAACGCTGCTTCTTTTATACTTGTATGAACTGAATGTCATCTTGGCCTTTCTTTTCAATGTACACGATTTGATCCCAGAAGATTTATTTGGATTCGTGAGTTAGCAATCAAGTGACCTTCCTGCAAAAGATAATTGAATTAACAATTTCATTTATTTTATGCTGCTGATAATTAGATTTATACCGGGACATCTTCAGCCGAACTCCAAATTACTGTAAGGCGTAACTGATTTGCTCCATTCGAATGGCAAAAAAATCGCTAATCGGTGGAGGGTGAACAGTGCGACGCTAATATTAGCGTTGCATTGTTCAGCTACGTGATTTTTTTGTTTCAACCGGATTTGTCGAAGAAACACACGAAAGAGGAGAAAGACGGTTATCTTCGCAGAAGCGCACAAAATGGAGTTCGATTGGAGATGAATCATAGCATTTTTAAATTTCATTGCATTTTGGAGTGAAAAATTGGATTTTTGGTTGGAGATGCCCTTACTGACAACATAGAAAGAACTACTGATTAAGATACTTCAGAGTTTTAATCAGAAATAATAGCTTCATATGCAATTTGATCATCAATAAGGCATGTGAAGAACTCTATATTTGAAATCCAAGGCCTTCCACCTTTAATTGCTTCATCTTCCTCTATAGAAAAAGTTTTTCAAAATCTGTCTGCTAGAGTGCATTAACTGTAAGAAATCTATTGTCAGACCTTTTGCTAGCAGAAAAAAGTCCATAAAATTCATAGTAAATTGTAAAAATTTAACTTTTCAATTGACACTAACACAACAAGGCCGAGATCAGATGAACTGAGCATAAAGTAATCACATTTTCATCCATTCAGAATCAGTGGTTACTATTTGTCTTATACCGCATTGACCTTTTTAAAAGCCCCTCGCCATTAATGTTCCTACTTCCTATTCATAAAAGCTTGATACAATCAAAGGATCAAACAAACAACCTAGCAATGGCGCATACCAACCCACAAACCAAAACCAATTAAACTCATGGAGACCCCAAACCCTAAACCTAGAAAGAAAGCCATTAAAGAAGAAGAAGAAGAAGGATTGCAACAGAAAGGAGGATCTTTTCTGCATACCTCCCAACTCCGGAGAATAATCCGACTCCAACATTGATGTCCCCAAGAAGATGGTAGCTTTCACTATAAATACAATGGAAGTCAGGTAGACTTTTCAATTTAGAAATTATATTTTGAAGAAAAAAAAAATCGAAGAGGGAAGAAAGTCTTTTTAGGTTTCCAACCACGAGCAAGAAAATAGTGGAACGCTTCATTGGCGTCATCAATGGTGTAAATTTGCAACGAAAATAATTGCAGGGTAGCTATCAAAAAGTTTGCTTTCTTGGTGATGAAGCCGTTTGAATTCTAAGGGGAACGCACGAGGCCTTGACCATTTGAGGCTCAAAAAGAAATATATATATATATATATATATATACATAATTTTTTTATTTTTAAATCTTATATACTAGAATTTCCATATTTTTTTTACCTAACTGATTTTATATGGATGAGGATTTTGAGTTGTTAAGCTTGGACGAGTGACCTTGATATGATGTTTTTGTCAGCGAATGAATTATCTCCATGTATTTACTTAATTACCTGCACCATGTATTTACTTAATTACCTATACCTGAGTCTATTTAAAGACTCACTGTAACATTTCTAATTGAATAATATACTACATTTCCTTTCCTCTGTTTCGCTCCTGAAGCTCGTCTTCTTCCCTCTCTCTCTCTCAATTACCTTCTCATGGTATCACAGAGCCTCTAATGGGGGATCAAAGTTCTACTTCCTCCCTCCCTCCCTCCTCTTCCTCCAACCGGGCCAACGATCCTACGGACGTTTGCATCCCGGCGCCACTAAAGTTCTTGGTCTCCAACATCAAGAACCTTCTTCCCCATCCGCTCACCGCGGACAACTACGCTATCTGGCGCATCCAGATTCTCCAGCAATTCACCGCGAATGGCTACGCAGGGCATCTCACGGGTACCCACCCAATGCCGCCTGACGAAACCTCTCCAGAATCAGCACGCTGGAGACTAATCGATAGCAACTTGATATCTGCATTATTCTCAATCATTTCGCCGTTGATACTTCCCTATGTCATCACCGCCACAACGACGAACGAAATCTGGCTTGTTCTTGAATGCCGGCTACAGCCCTCCAGCCGCTCTCGCGTTCTTCAACTCAAGAACGAACTTCATAATCTCCAAATGAATAATCTCACTATGCAGCAATACCTGTCTCAGGTCAAGAACATAGTTGACAACATCGCCGCCGCAGGTTCCAAGATTGATCCAGAAGATATCGTGCTATACATCCTAAAAGGCCTACCGTCCACCTATAATTCCTTCAAGACGACTGTTCGCACATCCCCACTTCCCGCAGATCTTGACAATCTCTATTCTCTACTTTGTAGCGAGGAGATTCATGTCAATCAAGAAATTCAGAAAGATCAATCCACTTCTTCCGCAACTGCTCTCTACACCACCTCCTCAAATCAATCCAGAGGGCGCCCACAGCGACGCACGAACCGAAACAAGAACACTCAATTCCCTATGCTGCCTTCAGCCACTCAAAGCACCACTCTGGTTTCACCTCAAAATCAGTGTCCCACATGCCAAATTTGTGGAAAAACAGGGCATAGTGCACTGAATTGCTGGCATATATACACTCAAAAATACGCTCCAGCCCCCGCACCCAAAGCTCTGTTAGCACAACCCTCTCCTTACGGGAATCAAGACTGGGTTCTTGATACAGGGGCCACAACGCATCTCACGCCAAACATGAATCAGCTTCAACAGTCGTATCCATACTCCTGCCAAGAATCAGTGTCCATTGCCAACGGCTCCACCTTGCCTATACAGAATTCTGGTCAAGGAATCCTGTCGTTACCGGACACTCCCCGTAAGCTCCGGTTACGTAATATATTACACGTTCCTTCTCTCACACATAATCTTCTTTCCGTCTCAAAACTAATTTCTGATAACTCTATTTCTATTACTTTCAACACTAACGGTTTTGAAATTAAGGATTCTCTGGACAATCATCTTCTACTTCGTGGTCACCTTCATAAAGGACTCTATCACATACAACAGGCACCGGAGAAGCAACACGTAGCTCTACAAGCAAACACAGATACATCTCAAACCTGGCACGCTCGTCTCGGACATCCAAACAACAAACTTCTTCCTACAATTGCTCGCCTTATACCGGAATGCAAGAATCTCAATTTTTCTTCTTTTTGCAAATCATGTACTGTGGCTAAAAGTCACAAACTTCCCTTTAATAAAAGAATCACCGAATCCACCACACCGTTCGAATTAATACACTCGGATGTGTGGGGACCAGCGCAACAAATTTCTTTAGATGGTTTCCGTTATTACGTGATTTTCATTGACGATTATACTCATTTTTCTTGGATCTATTTTATGCATTCAAAACATGAAACATTTTTGAAATTTCAAGTTTTCTGCAGTCTTATTCGCACACAATTTTCTACCACACCTAAGATCTTTCGTTCAGATGGAGGTGGCGAATTCATCAGCACCGTTTTTCAAACGTTTCTCCAAACCAACGGCATCATACATCAACGAAGCTGCCCTCACACTCCGGAACAAAATGGGTTAGCAGAAAGGAAGCATCGTCACTTGCTCGATCTCACCCGAACGCTTCTTCATGCTGCAGCTCTCCCAAATCTGTTTTGGGCCGAAGCAACTGCTACAGCAAACTACCTAATAAACCGGCTCCCCTCCACCTCTCTAAAACAACAATCCCCTTACCAAAAGCTATACAACAAGATACCCAACTACACACATCTCCGCACTTTCGGGTGTCTTTGCTATCCCTGGCTTCAACCCTACACTACCAGCAAATTTTCTCCCCGCTCCTCCGACTGCCTGTTCATTGGCTACTCACCGAATCATAAAGGGTATAAGTGCTACAACCTCCAAACCAAGAAAACTCAAATATCTCGACACGTCATTTTTAAAGAAAATGTCTTTCCCTACACCTCAATTATCTCAGAAAACATCTCACACCATACACCACCTAATACCAACACATCACCACTACTCCTAATTCCTACCTCCTGTACATCCCGCACCACAAAACCCATGGTCACTCCTCCGACCAACCACCAAATTTGCCCAGAACCCTCACAGACCCAGCTCCCTTTCACAGTCACACAACCTACCAACACAAACAACAACACCACTACTCCTGATAAACCAACCAACACGGTTCACCACATGACCACCAGATCCAAATATGGCATCTCTAAACCAAAGCATTGAGTCAACCATAAGAAATAAATTGCATCGTTATAGTGAAGTCAACCCATTGTTAAACGTAAATAAATTAAAGCAACGGCTTTCTTACTACTTTTTAAAGCAGCTTTCTTAGTTTAAAAAAAAAAATTAAAGCTGCTTTAAGAAGTAGTAAGAAAGCCATCACAAACGAAGCCTAAGGTTTCAAGGCTTCATTTAGGATGACTTTCTTACTACTTCTTAAAGCAACGTTTTAGTAGAAAAATTTTAATTTTTACAATAGAAAGCTGTTTTAAGAAACAGTTAAACAGCTGGCTCAAACGAAGGCTAAGATTTTATTTGAGACGGTTTTTTCAATAATGTCAAAAACAACTTTCTAGCATAAAAAAATTTCATCAACTAGAAATTTTTGTGTTAGAAAGCTGCTTTAGAAAGCATTAAAAAAGTCATCCCAAATGAAGACTAAAGTTTCATTTGCGACGATTTTTTTTACTAATTCTTAAAATATCTTTTTAGTACAAAAATTTTAATTTTTATACTAAAAAATTGTTTCAAGAAACAGTAAAAAATATGATCATAAACGACGCCGAAGAGTGTTCCAAATTTTCATGAAGTACAAAAAAATTATAATATCCTAACAAAAATATAGCTAATCATCCATAAGTAATATATAAATATATATGCAAAACCATGACCAAAATGAATTTTATTTTTTCATTAAAAAATAAAAAATGCATACAAATATTAATTATTTTTTATGTCATATAATAATATTTAAAATATTTATTATACATAAAAAAAACAAAAATATAAGTGAGCCCAAATTAAATGACCACTAAATTTTAGTTTATTTTTTGTTTTTGGAAATAAATTAATATATTTTCCATAATTTTTAAACACAAATTCAAAAGAAAAAAAAATTTATAGTAATCGAAAAACAAAAAACAAAAAATTATGCCAAAAAATGCCCATAATCGGAAAAAAAGGATTTGCTACTTCATGAACCACAGCTTCTACACCAAGCTAGTAAAAATAATTTTGTGCGGACATCGAACGTTATCCGAAAATCAACCAAAATTTGTCACACCGCCCCTTCGTTTTGTACCATAGTTTCATATTGCTTAGTACTACGGCTCAGTACCGCTGACGTGGCTGCCTTCGAATGTAGAGTTGTGTCCGACATCTGCATAGAATGTTTTCTTGCAAACTAGGGCTAAATAAAATCTAATTCTTAGACAACAAGGAGTTCGGCAGGCTTCATATTCCAAAAAAAATGTTCTTATAGAAATTTTTTTTTTTTACTCTCTTATAAAAAAAATTTTTTTAAGGGGGGCAATTGCCCACCCTAAAGTACATGTGGTTCCACACATGAATATGAGCCCATAAGCTCAACCAAA